CCCTTTTTCTTTTATTTTCCCTTCTCTCTTTCTTTCCTCTCTTTTCTCTCTTTCTTTTTCATTTTTCTCTTCCTCATACTTAGTTTTTCTTCTATCCTTTGGTAGTTACTAGTTTTTTCAAAATGTTTTCCATTCCCTCTCTTTCTCTATATATATGTTTCTTTCATTTCCTTGCATTAAATAGGTCCATATGCATCTTGAATTAATTAGGCAAAGTGTAAAGTAATTTGGTGAGTCATGGTGAAGGTGGCGGGCTTGTGTGCAAGTTGGGTGAGTTGGCTCTCTTGCATTTAATGAAATGGATTAGGTGTCCTAACTAAGGGATTAGACTAATTAAATACCCTAATTAACTTAGCTTCAAGTAATTAACATATTTTCTTCATAGATTTTCATAAATTCCCCCTCTAAACTCGGAAATTCCCTTCCCTTCCATTCGATGTTTTCCAAGGAAAATATTCCTATATTTTCTAAATTTTATACACATCCCTATTTCCCTTGTATACTCTGTACCAAGTACTTAATATATAATGAGTGCTAATTAATTAATTTGTTTGAAACTTCATCCCAAAATTCTCACATAAGTGCCTTAAAATTTCCACATGGATACTAATTAACCATCATCACCAAATAATTAAAATGATACCTACAATTGTACTCGTATTTAATGTATATTTACGTGAATATTTCAGCATATATATATATGTCTCATTAAAGATTTTCATGGGGGTTACATTTTTTACTCTGGATGAATCCTCTAAGACTTACGAAGTTCTTGTATATCAATTTATGGGATAGTTACAACACTTTATAACTTTTCTAGTTAGGGTTCCTCTTGTGGAGTGTCGATTTGTGAGTCCTCTCAAATCTTATCGAGCTCAACTCTCCTTCCACTAATTCTAGCATCTATAAATTCCTTCTCAAGGAATACGAGCATGTCTAGCCACGAACACCTTTTGTTCTTGTGGTTAATAAAAGTAATATCCATTTGTTTCTTTTGGATATCCTACAAAGTTACACTTTATTGATTTGGGCTCTAGCTTGTTTCCATCCAAACATTTGACATACGCTTCGAGCCCCAAACCTTAAGGAAAGATAAATATGCTTTCTTTCTTTCTATATCTCATATGGAGTCCGATCAACAAACTTTATTGAAAACTTATTCAAAACAAATGTCGTAACAAGAAGCACTCAAAATAGATAAAGTGCTAGCTTTATCTTTTCCGACTTATTGAGTGCTTATACCTTAGAAATCTAATCATGATGATTTTGTAACAACCCAAAAGGAGAGAAGGGAGGATTTGAGTGCTAAAGTTTTAGAAGAAAACTATTTTCTCCTTATTTTTTCTCAATGTCATGCACCCTAACCTTTTTTTTTATACCATTTTCTCTCTTTTAAAAAACCCTTCCCTTGTTGTTGCACCTCTAATCCTTTTTATAAAGAGAGAGTTTTCTTATCCTTTAAGGATAATAAAGGGCGGTAACTAGTCTAAATTGGACTCTTGGTTATTGCTTCTTAATCCTTTAAAGATTAGGTGTTATTTTATATGTGGGCTTTTTTATCTTATCTTTAAAACATTCATCCTTATCCAATAAAGTTCATGTTTATCCTCCCACTAAAATATCTTTTACGCATTTAATTACACCTACCGGCCTAAAACTATTTTGGTCTAATTAATTAATTTAAACTATCTAAATAAATTAGATTAGATAATTTAGGTGTCCCACATTAGGAAATAATTTCTCAAAATACCCTTAAATATAAATTTGGAAACTAATTTTCTTTTAGGTTATTTACTTCTAAATTTGGAACTCGACATCCAAATTAAGAAACTTATTTCGAAAAAGAAAACTTTCCATTTTAAGAAACCTTCATTTTAGGAAACTTTTAATTTCTAAAACTTTTTCCAAAATAGAAAACTTTCAAATTGAAAATGTTTTCCAATATATTTGCTTCTCTTTTATTGTGTGGATACTTAAACTTATATGTGTAACTCAATAGGCTCTTATATATGTTGGTAATATATCATGAATAGAAGACACCTCTTTTATCTTGAGATATAAATCAAGATCGACCTCTAGCAAGGCATCATGACTACCTAATTCTCTAAGAGTATTAATTAATCCACAATTACCTTTTACGAGCATGGTTATTATACAATTCCGTTCTCATGTCAACTTATCACAATGTGAGTTTGAACTTGTATATTAATCTTGTTTGATCATGGTCACATAATTTTTCTTTGATTCTCAAATTTCTTAGCTCTTAGAGTAAACCAACTATACTCTATTAGTGTACTCTTACTATGGTCGTAGATTTCTTGAGTAGACATTCATCAAAGTGTAGTATGATAACACTTTAGTATACAAGGAATGACATGTCCTATCTTAGTCATCCACCTACCTCCATTAAATTCTTAGTGGACCTAACAAATCGTCCACATGCAACCCTTTATTGGGTCCATCGAAATGAGTGTCAAAGTACACAAATCCTCTAATGATACAATCATGATGACTTTAAGTCTAAGGACTAGTTGTACTTATCTCATATGAGATTCTCATAGACTAAACCGAATGAGTTCTTATGGCGAGTCAAGTTTAGTGATATTTTTTTAACATAAATCACCTAAATTTTTCCTTTTGGCATCATCATACCAATAGGTGTGAGATCTCCTACTACTATTATATAGCATAAGCACGAGCACTCATAAATCTAACTACATATAGTCAATGTCGAGTCTTGATAATGCTACGACTTGGAATATTTAATGATATCATTTATGTGCTTTAGTGTTGGTCTCGCATCTTTCGATCAATCACCGATACAAATGCAATTATATGGACTTCTATCTAATTCTATTCAATAAATAAATATAAGCAATAAGAATTAATTGAAAGACTTTTTATTATTGATAAAATAAATGATGTAATAATATAATAACTAAAACTCATCTAAACATGGTTGGACCTTGGGCACTTACACTAATATATATAATAATATAATCTAAAAAATATTGTAATCTTTTAACATTATAATTATTTTGATTACACAGGAGCATGTTGACGAGCTCATATGGGAATTTATTAAGAAACGAGTAGGTGGAAGGAATCTTAGAGCCACAAGTTGATAAAAACGCCATATACATTGAGGTCGTAAGGAAGAAGAAGAAGAGACTATAAAGTGTAGGCATACAAGCATCGTATTACCTATCCTAGTTAGGTGGCATTAGCTCGCCCTTTGTGTCATCGCATTATACTAGTGATGTTTCTCACGAAGAGGTTCGGAGGTAGTGTAAGGAGATGAAAGAGGTGATGTAGGGGATGTAGGTTAGATAAGACAAGCTATAAAATCTTGTCATGCAATAGCAGATTACCATATACAGTGCGTAATACTCAATATGAATCATTGAATACTTAGTATGAATCATTTGCCTCAATGTTGATGTGGTCGGCACGTACGTTCGAGTTGCCTATATATCCATCATTTAGTCGGGATTCCACCGTGCCTCCCACCGAGCCTTAGGAAGAAAAGAGTGGAATAGATGATCAATATGATGATCATGAGTGACATTTAATTTTATTTATTTTTTTTCTTTCCTTTCTTATGTACTATTGAATCTTCTTATGTTAATATTAATTTAAATTTAATTTATAAAATTTTAATTTTAATAATACATTATTTATTCTAATTGTTAATTACTACCAAGAATATTATAAATTTTGAAAAATAAATAAATAATTAAATTTATCAATTTAAAAAAATAATTAGAAACCTTAACGATGGATTAGTGTTAAACTTAGCGACAAAAATAGCAACGGAATAATGATAACTATATTAGCTTTGGCTATTAGTGATGAAATATCGATCATTAATCAGCAATGCAATTAGCGATGAGCTAGCGATGCCTAGTACGATGATTTGGGTGACTAATTTACCAATAGAATATATCATTTAAGTGATGGAAAAATTGTCACTAAAATAGTGACGGATAATTTTTTGTCATCGCTAGCGTTAGCGATAAGAGTATTAATGATGAAATAAATTTCATCACTAAATAATTTTAGTGAAGACTATTCCTTTATTAACAATGGAAAAATCCGTCGCTAATCGGGACTTTTCTTATAGTGGTCGAAAAGTTCCCGACATAGTCATTCTAATGATTAAGTATTTTTAGGATATGAGATATTAAAGAAAGAGAGAGAAATAATTCTTTTTGAAATTATATATAGAGAGAGAGAGAGAGTAAGAAATAATGGATATCGTGCATACTTTTAGAATGTTGAGCCAAGAGGCTATATGACCTCAAGTGAGAGGACCCATAATTATGAGAAGGTATAGTTTTAGTGAGTTATGTGAGAGAGTCTAAATTTAATGCCTCATCAATTGTCTTTATGTCTTAAAGTAAGGCCTACTCTATTTGAGACTAGATGATTCTCTAATATATTCTAATTTGGGTAGATCGAGGTTTTAATGATATCATGATTATGAGTTCCCGGAAGATAGTATTCCTAGAGTAATGGAGATTCTACGAGGAATGGCATTATAAGTTCTCTATAAAAGCATAGTTGTATGCTCTTAGAGGAGTTAGAAATTCCTAGAGGAATGTACTTCTATTTTTCCTTTATTCGTTGGAAACCCATAGACTTTGGATTCATGTATGTATCCGTACTTTTGTTCCTCTAGGCTCTTAGACTAGATTCGGATCCTTTATCTCCTTTTTTGTTCCTTGAGAACTCTTAGACTCGGATTCAAACTTTTTTTTTTTTTGTGCTTTTATTTTTCTAAAACTCTTAAATTATATTCAAATCTATTGTCCGCATTTTTGTTCTTATGAAACTCTCAAATTGAATCCAAATTTGTTGTTTATACTTTTGTTCTTTTAAAACCTATAAATTACATCTGAATGAATTTTTAAAGGTGTAATCTTTAAAATGGGATGAACTCCCTATAAAAAAAGGATACCGGATATAGAGATTGAGCCCTTAAGGAATGGGGTCTTTAGGGAGAGAAAGATCCTAGATGTTGGGATAAAGTCCTTGAAGAGGAATTGAGTCCCCGAGGGGAGGAAGATCTCAAATATGAGAGAGGAATCCTAGAGAAAATATGGAATCCCAAGGAGGAGAATAATCCTTTAGAAAGGAGTGGGATCCGTTAAGAGAGATGGCTTTTTATAGGGTAGAGACAGGAGGATCCTGAATAAGGAGTAGAGTCCTTAAGAAGGGATGGACCCCTTGGTGAGAGATGGAGGAACCTAAACATTAAAAAGGAATAGACCTTTTGGGAAAAGAGGATCCGAAAATTTGGAAAAGAACCCTTATGTAATATCCTACACCAAAAATCTCTTAAATAATTATATATGTATGCATTGAATAAGGGATAATTATATTAATTCATGAATATTTAATTAAGGAATAATTAGTAAAATTTAATGTATGAATTAATATTATGTGTACATAAAAATATTATTTATGTGCACATAATTATTAGGAAGTAAAGAGGAAATAATTCAAAATTTATTTGGAAGGTATGGATGACTAATTGAATGGATGATAAATTTTAGGTATTTGATTGGATTATTTTTATGAAGGTAATTGTAAAGTTTAAAGGTTTAACTATTTAATTTAAATAATTTTGGGAGTTAAGAGATCAATATTCATTTGGAAATCACCTTAAATGAGGGCTGGATTATTGTAATTAAAACTAAGGAAGCCAAATTGTCGAGGTGTGATTGAATTGAATTATACAAGTCAAGGACAAAAGTAAATTTTTTTGGCAAAATAGAGGGCCATTTAAACCAGCCCCTTAGGCTAGAAATTGCTCCATAAATTCAATATAGAAATAGAATTTTTGGGTTAGAACATTCGGCCAAGTAACAAGAGAAAGAAAGGAAGACATGCTAAGGAAAAATTGGAGAAAAGTCATGTAAAGCCTAGAACTTCTATCTTGGCTAAGAAATTGACTTGATTAATCCAAGTAGCACTCACTAGGCTTGATCACAATTCTTTTCACTCTATATATCCGACCAATTAGAGATGATAAGAGAAGGATCATCAAATGAAACCTAGAAGAAACCAAGGGAAAAAGAAGAGAGAATTAGAAGAAATTAAGCTATACCTACCCAAATTTCACTCAAAATCAACATCTAATCATCCATAAAACCCTATTAGAAGGCTTAAGGAAGCAAGCATAAGGAAAGGGACAAAAAGGACTCTTGGCTGAAAATAAGAGGAAGGAGAAGGAGAAGAAGAAGTTTGCAAGGTTCAAGCAAAATTAGACATCAAGCTACAATTAGATAAGTGTAATCTCACCTACACCATAAGTTGTTTTATAAAAGGTATTTAGCATATTTGGGTTGTAACTAAGGAAGAATTGGATAAAATTAGATTGTTAGCCAAGGTTATTAAATTCATCCAACTTGAAATTTAAGATGGCATCTTTAATTTTATGTACTAAGTGTTTAATTATGTTTAAATGAGATTCAATGATGATTATTTAGGTCAGTAATGTGAAGGTATCATCTTGATTGCTTGGTAAAGGGTCATTGCCAAACCCAAAATTTATAGTTATTTGAACCGATTATTAAAACCACAAAATTTAATGAATATAACATTAGTTAATTGGAATTAAATGCTTTGCATTAAAGAATTAGGATGGATTAGCTAGAGTAGTAAATTTGGCCGTTAATCCTAAACAACCTAAAGATGAAATTGATTGGGTTTCATGGAAGCTTAGGCTTGGATATGATGAAATAATATGTATAGAATGGATGAATGAAGAAAAATTATCTTGGTTGAATGGATGAAGCATTCGGACAAGAGATGATTTTTCAATGGCTTGTCTAATGTTCTAAATTATGATAGATTATGATGGATGTGAATGTTTATGAATAAGTGAATGTGAAATGGCTTGAAAATAATTACATATATGATGTGAAATGATGCGGCCATATGTGGCCAAGAATGAATTTTCTAGGATTAATTTATGTATTTAATTATCTGTTTTATACAAGTTAATGGTTGTGTGTTGATTATTAACATGTACCATGATGATCAAGAATACATGACATGGGAAAGGTTAAGGTAACAATTGTTATATGCATTTCATGGCATATATATATATATATATACATACACACACACATACATATGAAAGTTTTCTTTCATGATTTCAAATAAGTGAATGTGAAATGGTTTGAAAATAATTATGTATATGATGTGAAATGATGCAGCCATATGCGGCCAAGAATGAATTTTCTAGGATTAATTTATTTATTTAATTATCTATTTTATACACGTTAATGGTTGTCCGTTGATTATTAGCAAGTACCATGATGATCAAGAATGCATGACATGGAAAAGGTTAACGTAACGCATAAATTGTTATATGCATTTCATGGCATATATATATATATATATATATATATATATATATATATATATAAGTTTTCTTTCATGATTTTACAAAGAAAAAAGAAAAAGAAATGCATGGTTTTCAATGAAAATGGAAAGTACCTCTAAAATGAAAATAAGAGTAATGATCACCCTCTTGAATCGAAAAAGGGAAAGGAAAAGGAAAAGGAGAGGTACTCGGTGTTTTTGTAATGTTTTCACAATTGCATGTTGTAAAGTGTTATGACCAAAATTTCAAGCTTTTTATTTTTAGTTGGTTATTTGTTATTTCAAGCTTTTTTATTTTTAGTTGGTTATTTATTTTCTTTTATTTCATTTTAAGTTTTTTTTTCATTTTCTTATCTTAATCGGTGTTTTTCTTTTAATTTATTTTACTTAATAATTTGCAAAAAAGAAAAAAATAATAATTTGAATTTAACATTCGGGAATGCAATTGCATTAAATTCAAAATAATTATAGTCGTTGGAGATACAATTGAATCATTCAAAGTTCAAGGGTCGATTACATTGCATAGGGACCAAATTGACCTAATAATGATTTATAGGGAACAACATTACCAAATTATAAAAAAAAAAAAAAAGAAAGAAAAATCGTAAACTTACATAGGAGTGGACAACCGGTCGCCCACTCCCGTCCAAAACTAGTTTACGGTATTTTGTTCTTTTATTTCATGGAACTAGTTTTGGTTTCTAGTTACGGGAACTAGTTTGGTTCCCGATTATAACTCCAAATTCCAAGAGCAATCAATCCCCTCAACTTGCAGCCTACCCACCTCCTCTCCGATCGAGCAATTCCAACACCATCTCACCTGCTGCAACTATTGCGAGCACCATTCTAGCCCACAAACTCCTCTCCGATCGACAATATCAACACAATCCACCTACGACCACCCTTACTGCCGCAACTCCCGTAGCACAAACCCACTTCCGGTAGCCACCACTACCACGACCCACAACCAATCCCATCTAACCCCTCCCACTTGACATATCTTCGGAAAATCCCCCACCATCATAATGGGAGAACCAACCAAGCGAGTTCATATATATATATATATATATATATATATATATATATATATATATATATATATATATACATATATACACATACACACACACACACACACATATAATTAGCAAACAAAAAAAAGAGTTAGGTTCGAAAATTGAAGAGAAAAAAAAAGGAGAGAAACAAAATGGATAGAAACGAGAAAGAGAGAAAATCTAAAAATAGAAAAAAGAAAAGAGAGATCGAATTTACTCGGAACTCGAGTCGTATCTCACTTCAATTAGATCTAAATCGACTCCTGCTAATCCTTTTCTAATTTTCCTCTTTTTTTTTTTTCTTGTGAATTTAAAGTCCGGGTTGAATTTGGGGCATTTTGGATTTGGTTCGAAATTGAGGTTGGAAAACACTAATTAAGTCTAATTGAGGTCAATTAGAGTTTTAATTTGGGGTTTAAAATTCAAATTGAAGCTTAATTAACTTCAATTTAAACCTAGGGTTCTTGATAATTTTTGAAGAAATTGATTTAGGGGTTTTGCTAAAATTGAGTTTATTAAGCTTTGAATTAACTAGATTTCACTAGAAATCAAGCCAATTAGCCCAAATTGAAACAAATTTTTGAAAAATTAAAAAGTTAGGGTTCGACCAAATTGGGGAAGAAATTTTTGAAATTGATTTGGGGGTCTTTGATTGGGTAAGGAAAAGAAGGAAAGGAAGGGAAATAGGATGGAAGGAAGGGGAGAAAATTAGGTGGCTATGGATGAACCTCCACTGGTTTGTCCATAGTAGTCTCGACCATAGGAGAGAAAGAGACGAAGAAGGAGGGGAACGGGAAACGAGAGAGAAAAAAGAAAGGGAAGAAAATAAGAAAATGAGAAGAGAAAGAAAAAGAAAGAGGAAAGGAAGAGAAGGAGCGACAAACCAATTTGGTTCGTCCATGGAGGTAGCCAAAAGAGGGAGGAAGAAGAAGAAGAAGAAAGAAAGAAAGAAAAAGAAAGGAAAAAGAAAGAAGAAAAACGGGAAAGAGAGAGAGGAGGAAAAAAGGAAAAAATGGGTTTTAATCCAAGACTTTAAAATTTATTGTTGGGGTTATGTTTTTTGGGCCAAAGAACTAGTTTTTTTTCTTTTAAGTGAGCCTAACCCCGCTTGTGATAGGGATGGACTGTCTAGCCCGAAACTTTCCTTTTAGGCTAGACCGGACGAGTCCAACCTCAATCCTTAAAATAAATGAGAAAAAGAAAAAGTGTCTTCATTTTTATTTTTTATTTTTTTGCATGTTGTTATTTCATATGTAGTTTAAATATTGAATTTTCTTTAATTATTTTAATTAATGTAATTTTAATCTTGAGTTTGTTTTATGCATATTTGTTAGTTTATGTTAACTTAGAATTTAATAATTTAGTTTTTTTAATTATTTTAATTAATGTAATTTTAATTTTGAATTTATTTTATGCATGCTTGTTACTTGAATTTCAATATTTGAATTTTATTTATTTATTTAATTGATGTATCTTTGATTACTTTTGTTAGTAATTAGATTCGGTAATTAATGGATGAAAGATTGTCAAGTCTCCTAATTTTTTAGGGATCGATGACAATTTTTTTACCAAATAAATAAAAAAAATGGAAAGCAAGTAAGAAAAATAAAAAATAAAAAAATCATAAAACTTTTAACAAAATCTCATATCTTATAGGGACTGTTGTTAGTTAAAAAAAAATAAGAAATCATTTTAATAAACAA